ATATATATAAATTGAATTTTGGGAAACTTTAACGGTGCTGCCAACTTTGGAAAAAGTCATCCCAATTTACTGTGTTGAGTTGGCATTGTACAGAAATGGACAACCATATTGGTCTAGAAATGTTTATTTTTATTTTTATTTTTTTCCATGTGTACAGGGGTAACACATCATACTAAATATGTAAGGTCATATCTACGTGTGTTTGATTACAGAAACTAATAAAGTATTCTCTAAATAATGAAAAAAAGAATAAGATAAGACTATAAGAGCAAGAAGCAATTTAAATATGTTCAGGGACCATTTTCATCTCCAGAATTAAGGATTATTTTAATGTTACATCATTGCCTTTTCTCTTTTACTTTCCTTTTTAGTTTTATTTTAGGGTTCCCTATTTTTAATGTTCATACAGAGATTTCTTTAACTGAAATACCGAATAGTTTCTTTGGTGTGAAAACTATAATAGTACACAGGATCCTAATGAGATAATTAATAATGTGAAATAGGAAGTAAAGGGCTAAAGGTGTAGGGAAAGTGGGAAGGGTGGGGGAAAGGTAATAAGCGAGAGGAAAAAAATATGAGAAACTGAAAAAATGGAAATAAAGTGTTTGTAAATGGGGAGGTGTGGAGGGGGTAAAGGGAGGGCAGGGACAAGGGAAAGAAAATGAGAATCAAGACCTATTATGTAAAGGTACAGAATCCCAATAATGAATGTAACTGTATTGTATACCTAGATTGTACCAATAAACTCAATTAAAAAAAAAAAGAGTACAGTGTCAAGAATATTTATAGGAATACAGAAATATTCAGTGCCTGACAATATAAAATACACAAGCCGACCATCTGATAAAGTATGAAGCATGAAAAGCGGGAAAACCAGTATATAAAAAAGAGGAAAAGAAGTGCCCAGAATTCACAGATGATCAAACAGTAGAGAAGAATGTTTGGTTATTTGCCAGTGCAAACAAAGACAAGAAACTGGTATTTTCCTCAGTTCAATTCCTGGCACCCCAAAAAAGAAAATAAACTGATTTATTTCCCATCCCTGTATTTCTGTTTTAGGTTTATAGAACACTGATAACAGGTGGTATTTATTATCTATGCTTCATCTTTACCAAAAATCCATTTTTTCAAATTAGTCCACTTATTCTCTGCCCTTGAGAATAAAGTTAGAACAAAATTAATATTTTTTTCCTCCTGTCTGGTACAATAAAGGCCACACAAGCAAAATCAGTGTAAAGGTGCTGTGCTTTTCTACCCAGAAACTGAAACATTTATGAGAGCTACTAGACTGCTTTCATTTGTCTCAATCCCAGTATGTGCGAGGTGGATGGGAGATGAAGGCTATGCGGTCCTATGAACGGAACCTGTCTGCATCTGAGAGTTTAAAGTAACAGTAAAAACGTATTTGCTGTCCAAACCTTCACTACTGTGCTATCTGTCAAAATTTCAGGGAAATTGAGTACTCAAAACCCCAGTCACAGATCCTTATCAGTCAGGCCAACAGGAAGCAATTTGTGTGTTCTGAGACATGACACTGTTGTGCTACAACTTGATGCACCTCCAGCCCTGCTAGAGAAGAGGAGAGCAACTAACAGATGATTTTCACCTCTGATAACCCACTGCAAGCCAAGAGATCAATTCCCAGGAAAGTGAGTGTGAGGGGCAGAGGGGTCAGTAAGGAAGCACCCTGGTCCTGGGGAAATCTGCAGAGAAGCTGACACCGGCTGGAAGACTGAAGCATGGCTTTTTTTGACAGATTTCTTTCATTTTTATCTTGTAGAAACCCTATGTTGTAGCTACTGCTGGAGCTTGAGTTCTCTGAACAGAAACTCTGGTGTGAGTTTTCACAAGATGGTCAGTGAATTTCTGGTAGGGAGACTTGGTGAAGACAGTTTCCTTCCA